GCTGTTGGACTCTTGGGGGTACCATGTTCTCCGCGCATCGCACCGACGAGTTTATTCTCGTCGATCTCGTTGGAGGACGTACCTTTTGGAAAGTCTTGCAGAAGAAACATGAAATCGAACGCAACGTCTCTCGAATTCGTTGCTTAAATTCAGCCTGTGCATTTTCTAGAAACACGACATTTTTCTGCCGCCACCGATCTCCGATGCTTCCAACAACTATGAAATTAGTAAAAGCGCGCGAAATTCTATTCCCTTCGAACAATTCCCTATCCTCCGATCGCGAATCGTATCACGGACTCTGGAGGAAAGATTTGCTGCCACGTAGAAGGATAGATTCAGCCAGCAGCACGGACATCGAGGCGAGGCGAGGCGAGGCGAGGCGAGGCGAGACGAGGCGAAGCGAGGCGAGGCGTGGCGTGGCGAGGCGAGACGCGGGCTGGAAAGATGTTCGATCGAGGTAACGTAGCGGAAGAGATACGGATGCAACTGCCGCGTTTGCTCCTCCTCGGTAGCGACGGTCGGTGAATTTCCCGCGACTCGCGCATGGCAGGCGGCAGCAAACGTTGCTTCGAAATTGGCCGATTTCGCGACGCTCGTTCGCGCCCTCGTCAAACGATGGGGGCGAAAGAATTTTCAGCCTTTCGCGCGATCTCGATACGAGTCGAACACCCTCGACGCGAAATTTTCATCCCTGGCAGCGAAATCTTGGAAAGTCGAGATTAAGGGCGAAAGAGATTCGCGAGCGCGGCCAGCGAAACGACGATCTTGGCGAAGCGTCCCGTTCGTTTGGAACACCGTTGTCGCGTCGGCGCGAGATCGAACGAAAGTGGAAGTATCGGATTATGCGAAACGTTGGTTTAAAGGGGTCGCGGCGCGGTGCGGCGGTGACTTCGATATCCCGGGTGTATCGAGGCTGCTGTGCAGGCTTTAATTACATCCTTTCGAGGCTCTCCTCCCAGGCAACATCGGCCGCGCGCGCCATCCGGATAAATGAATATTTATCATCCGCTTCCCTCGAACGCGTACGAAATCTAATACCGCCCCATCGTCCGGCGCTCGGCCGGCTCGTAGCTCGAGCTCGAGCTCGAAACAGCGAGATCGGTGTTTGCCAACCTCCTCCCAGGGTCCTTCGACTTTCTTCGATCGCGTCCTTTTCACGGTGCCGCGAATTACGCAAATTATCGGCGTAACCGCGTTTCCCCGTGGCGCGCGCCTCGCGGCCCGACCATTTCGGTTCCTTCCGGTCCCTTCCGGTCGCGGAGATACACCGGTGCACCGGCGCACGGAATCGTCAACCTTCCACGATTCGACCGATTATTATTCGGTTCTATCTAATTTACCCTTCGACGCGCAAAAATCCATGTCGCCCCGTCGATGGCTCCGACGGCGACCGAACGAACGCGGAGGGTATAGGAGCGAAAAGAAGAAAATCGTCCGATTCTAATCCCGTCACCTTGCCCCCGCGGAACGACACCATTTTCATCTCTCTCTCTCTCTCTCTCTCTCTCTCTCTCTCTCTCTCTCTCCAGAGAGAAAAAGAGAGAGGAAAGCGCTCGAAACGCGCAAACAAAAAGAGACCTAATAGAAGAAGGGACCGGATGCCTGCGGGAAGCGAACGTAGAGAAACGTACGAGATCAGGGTCCGAACGAGAACGAGAACGAGAGCGAAAGACGAAGAAAGCGCGACGGGAGGAACCGAACGAAGAGACGGGAAGACGGGTACAGGGAACAGGACGAGGGGTCGAACGGGGAGGAAGAGAGAGCGAGAGCGTCGCGAGCGAGAGAGAGAGAGAGAAAGGGGGGCGGGGGTTGGGGACACCGAGGGGGTCGAGAATCACGTGGGAAGGGGGAAAAGCCGAGATACGGAGAGAGATCAATACGAGGTCGCTAGGCAACGAGCCTCCGGCGATCTCGGTCCGGGTAGACAGGGTGCCGCCACCAACCCCTGAACCCACCCACCGGCCACCCCCGAACCGACCTGCCTCTCAATATACCGAGTTCGCCTCTTCTACACCGTCCCTCTCCTCGTCCTGCTCTTTTTCATCCCGCTGTTTCTCCCTGTCCCGCACCCGCGCCGCCCTTCTTCGCCGCCCGAGCACCCGTTCCACCGACACCGACCGGTCCTCGCTGGCCTATCGCGCTATCTCCTGCGGGCGCGAACGCGGACGCACGCTGCCTTCGAAATCTCTCCCGCACCTGGCTGCGAGCACTCGATACCGCTTGCAATATTTACGATAACCGTTTACATAGGAATCACGATTTTGCGGCGGATATCCGCCCGTCGAGCCGCTGGGTTGCGAGAACCCGACGATGGCCGGAGAGACGCTGTTCGGACGTTTCCAGAGCCAACTTTTTCGAGCTGGCACCGACGATCCAAGCGCTGTCTTCGTTTCGTAGACCGTCCGTTTATGCTTCGACGATCGTATGCTTTTCGAATCGAATCGAATCGAACGCGGAGTATACGCGGATCGTTCCGCGGTGTCTCTGCAGAGGGTTACGCGCGGCGTCCTCGATACGCGGACGTTGGGTGGGTCCGGAGGAAGATGTCGTCGTGCTTGCTCGAAAAGACACGGTTCGGCGGCCGTTTTCTCGAGTAGGCGGGCAGGCGGGCAGGCGGGCAGGCGGGCAGCGGGTCGACGGTGTTGGGGCACGATCGTTTGGAAATTTTTAGAGCGTGTTGCACGCTCGATTGATTTTCGGAGACCTCTGACCCCGTTCAGCCGCCACCTGTTGTAGGGAAGACCGCGCGCGGCGCAGCGGTCCGGCGGTCGCTGCGAAAGATTGGCAAAGTCGAGCGGAGGCCGCGGCTAACGGAAATTTCGGACGCCGGAGCGACCGGATTAGAAAAACGTTCGAGAAACTGAAAGTTCAAGGATGGGTCGTGGCCTCCGGGCCGGTAGAACGACATGGAGGACGTTTCGACGGAACGAACCTCCGTTTTCTATCCGAAAGACGATCGAACGTCCCCTCGAGTCCACGATTAAAAGCGAATCGCGGCTGCTCGCCGATGAAGGTTCGACGAGCCTCGCGCTCTACTCCGCCCGGCGCGGATCGATGCGCGTTTCTACGTACGATACAATTGGAAGCGCGAGTTGCTCGAAAAACCGTCCGGATCAGCTTTTTACGTTTCAACGAGCGCGAGAAGAGGNCTCTCTCTCTCTCTCTCTCTCTCTCTCTCTCTCTCTCTCTCTCCAGAGAGAAAAAGAGAGAGGAAAGCGCTCGAAACGCGCAAACAAAAAGAGACCTAATAGAAGAAGGGACCGGATGCCTGCGGGAAGCGAACGTAGAGAAACGTACGAGATCAGGGTCCGAACGAGAACGAGAACGAGAGCGAAAGACGAAGAAAGCGCGACGGGAGGAACCGAACGAAGAGACGGGAAGACGGGTACAGGGAACAGGACGAGGGGTCGAACGGGGAGGAAGAGAGAGCGAGAGCGTCGCGAGCGAGAGAGAGAGAGAGAAAGGGGGGCGGGGGTTGGGGACACCGAGGGGGTCGAGAATCACGTGGGAAGGGGGAAAAGCCGAGATACGGAGAGAGATCAATACGAGGTCGCTAGGCAACGAGCCTCCGGCGATCTCGGTCCGGGTAGACAGGGTGCCGCCACCAACCCCTGAACCCACCCACCGGCCACCCCCGAACCGACCTGCCTCTCAATATACCGAGTTCGCCTCTTCTACACCGTCCCTCTCCTCGTCCTGCTCTTTTTCATCCCGCTGTTTCTCCCTGTCCCGCACCCGCGCCGCCCTTCTTCGCCGCCCGAGCACCCGTTCCACCGACACCGACCGGTCCTCGCTGGCCTATCGCGCTATCTCCTGCGGGCGCGAACGCGGACGCACGCTGCCTTCGAAATCTCTCCCGCACCTGGCTGCGAGCACTCGATACCGCTTGCAATATTTACGATAACCGTTTACATAGGAATCACGATTTTGCGGCGGATATCCGCCCGTCGAGCCGCTGGGTTGCGAGAACCCGACGATGGCCGGAGAGACGCTGTTCGGACGTTTCCAGAGCCAACTTTTTCGAGCTGGCACCGACGATCCAAGCGCTGTCTTCGTTTCGTAGACCGTCCGTTTATGCTTCGACGATCGTATGCTTTTCGAATCGAATCGAATCGAACGCGGAGTATACGCGGATCGTTCCGCGGTGTCTCTGCAGAGGGTTACGCGCGGCGTCCTCGATACGCGGACGTTGGGTGGGTCCGGAGGAAGATGTCGTCGTGCTTGCTCGAAAAGACACGGTTCGGCGGCCGTTTTCTCGAGTAGGCGGGCAGGCGGGCAGGCGGGCAGGCGGGCAGCGGGTCGACGGTGTTGGGGCACGATCGTTTGGAAATTTTTAGAGCGTGTTGCACGCTCGATTGATTTTCGGAGACCTCTGACCCCGTTCAGCCGCCACCTGTTGTAGGGAAGACCGCGCGCGGCGCAGCGGTCCGGCGGTCGCTGCGAAAGATTGGCAAAGTCGAGCGGAGGCCGCGGCTAACGGAAATTTCGGACGCCGGAGCGACCGGATTAGAAAAACGTTCGAGAAACTGAAAGTTCAAGGATGGGTCGTGGCCTCCGGGCCGGTAGAACGACATGGAGGACGTTTCGACGGAACGAACCTCCGTTTTCTATCCGAAAGACGATCGAACGTCCCCTCGAGTCCACGATTAAAAGCGAATCGCGGCTGCTCGCCGATGAAGGTTCGACGAGCCTCGCGCTCTACTCCGCCCGGCGCGGATCGATGCGCGTTTCTACGTACGATACAATTGGAAGCGCGAGTTGCTCGAAAAACCGTCCGGATCAGCTTTTTACGTTTCAACGAGCGCGAGAAGAGGCGCGAACGCTTTTAGCGTTCGTACCGAGAAACGATCGAGTTTCGAGGCGAACGAACGCGGTCGCTCGCGAACCGGGTTAATCGTTCTTGGAAACGACTCGGCGGCAAAGTTCAAAGTTGTATCGGAAAGCTGGTCGCGAGGACGAAGGGACGCGACACGGGATCGAAAGAAACGCGAATCCTGGGATCGCTGGGAATCGGTTTAATCGGACAATTGGCAGAGCATGGCCGCGCCTCGCAGAATCCAGTGTTCCGGCGGGCGGTCCGTCGGGAGCCGTACGGCGATTACGAAGTTCGTCGAGTGGCCGGTCGTCGACAGAACGCCCTTCCTCTCGGCAGTTTTGTACACGGGGCAGGTGTACGCGCGCCTCTCCGGTACTTGGTCCCTTTTCGTCGGTATCATCCAGATCTGGGTAGAAAAGCGGTCGCTCAGCGCGGCTGATCGCGCGGCGAATTCGTAGACGGGGACGCGCGCGCGCGCGCGCGAGTCAACGAGAAAGGAAAATATCCTCGCGCGCGGAAGTCTATAGAAATACGAGGCTAAACGCTGAAACGTTACTCACGTAGGGGACAGCGTCGTACAAGATTTTCGGCAACGATTCGTCGATGTTCATGGTCTCCGTGTTGAACCGCGCTCCATCGAAGAACAGGCCGTAAACGTAGACGCCGTCGGCCGGCGGGTCCGGGAAGACGGTCCCTTTCAGAGGGACGAAGTCGTAAATCAGGAGATCTATGGGTATCGAGTACTTCCTCGCGTAATTCTGACGAGCGCCGGTCAGGAACGCCTGGGTAAAGTAGAAGCCGGAGATCCAAAAGCTCGGCGGTGGTCCCTCGAGGTACCACGACTTGAACAAAATCGGAGGAAATTCAGCGTCGGAATTCGAGTTGGTCCGGCGTTGCCGTAATCGCCGCCGTTGCGAATTCTTCCGTAAAGAGAAAAATCTAGTCACCAGAAGAAAGGCGAGCCTCTTCAGAAGGTCCCGAACGTAACTGCCCAACGGCTTCAGGGACGGATACGAGTTGATCGTCCACGCGCCCGGTATCTTCCCGGTGATCATCGACGAGTAGACCTCCTCCAGGTCCGTGCTCATCGTCGTCAGACCTTGGATTCGGATCGGGATCGGGATCAGAGATAGACACGGAGGTTCGGAAGTCTGCGAGAAAGATCGATCGATCGCGGTACTCGGTCGCTCGGTCGTTCGCTCGTTTACCTTTGATCGCTTTCCGAACGTTCGTCAGGCTATTCCTGATCGTTCGCAGAAGCTTGTTGAATCTTCCCATTTCCTGTACCAGCACCGTGTTCATGCTTTGATCGTACAACGTCGGATACTCGAGGAGCGCGGCGTCGAGATCGAAGTCCTCCGGCAACTTTGAGAGAATATCGGACGCCACCCCGTAGACGGTCTCGTCGGGCGACTCGCCCGTGTCTGTTTCCGTTTCCCCGGTATCCTAATTGGAGGACGGCCGAAGCAACACGGTGCTGCTCGTTAGTAGTTCGCGCGATTCGTCGCGCGCGGAATACATTTAGGTACATAAGGTACTGCTATTATATTTGTGAAACACGGCCGGCCGGTGCGCGGCCCGCGCCTTAATTGTCGCGGAATTAATGAACGAAAGATAATGGCCGTGGCACACGCCGCCGCGGGAATTCGCGTTCCAGCTACCGCTAGCTCCTACGACGCGTTACGTCGGTAACGGCATCTTTGCCGAGAATGGTCCCTCGTCGACCCGTTAACGAGACCGCGTGATTTTCGAATCGATAGCTGCCGCGAACGACGACCGAACGAAAACGCTGCGTTCAAATTCGAGCGAGAAGCATCGTCCGTTACCTGTACGTCGGACGCTTCCTGACCGAGCTGAAACATACGAAAAGGAGCGCGCGAGCGCGCATGAAACACCCGGCATCGCGCAAAGAGCTACTCGTAACGCGCGAATCGTGCGTTGAAAAGACTTACGTTGAGTCCCTGAACCGTCTACGCAACGAGGACAGAGCGAAATTAGTCGTGGAATCGTCCGATTCGTATATCCGTGAACTTTTACCTGCGTCGCCAGCGCGGAGGTCAGCATCAGCGTGGTCTCCTGCTGGTCCTTGATGATGTCAGCGTTTTCGTTCATGCCGAAGACGCTGGGCGCCGTGGTCATCGGGAACGTCTTGACGTACTCGAGGAAATCGGCCCGATCTTGGACCCGGGGCACGTGATACAAGCCGCTCGGATCGAACAGGTATTCGTCGCGGAGCAACTCCGGGGAATAGAATTTCGCGAGGATGGTGTTCAAAGTTCGCCTGTCCCATTCGTCCGTCACGCGTCCACCGTAATTGCATTCGCCTGGCAGAGACAAATTCGTTACGAATCGGATCTTCCGATTCCGACTTCGGAGTCTCGAAACCGTGAGAATTCGCAGGAGTTCGATACTCGATACCTGTTAAATACTTGAGCGCCGTGAATTGCACGTCGTCGTACCGATCCAGAAAGATCTTGAGCTGCAGCGCGCTGATCCTGAGGTCGGTCTCGTTGAACTCGTACCGATTGTTCCAGCCGATCGGTCCGAATTGTCGGCGCTCTTGGACGATCGCGTGGAAAAAGCACAGAGAGAAGAGCAGCTTCTTGAAGGGCACCTTCTGCTCGCAGGTCTCGAAGAAGTCGTCGTCGGATATCGGATCCTACGCGAGACCGCCCTTGCGTTATCCATCGTCCACGAGCCGCGAGGATCGCGTCGCTCTTATCGTTTTACCTGGAGAAAGGACCTGATCATGTTCGCTCGCAGTCCCTTCGGCGGCTCGTTCGTGATCTTGACGCCATTTTGCAGGACGCTGACGGGAAAATGATCCACCGGATAGCTGGTCAGCCATAGCCGGAAGTCGGGGTGCACGGTTTCCGGGGTGAAAGTCTCGCAGATCTGAAAGATCGTAAATTTGAACAAGTTCCCTCGCGAGCTCCGTTAGCTTGCCCGGCGCTGCCTCGAGAAGGCGCCGGAAATTCGAACGAGACGGTTAAAAATTCGTTCGGCCGCACCTTCTCCAAATGGGGCATGAAGCTCTTGGCAAGATGACAATTCTGCAGGACCACCCAGGTGCCGTTCTTCGCCCCTTCGTCGATCAGTTGGACGGCGATCGCGCCCTGGCCTTGACCCAAAGACAGCGAGAACAGTCTGCTGGTCCCGAAACCCTGGTCGTCCGCGAATTTCAACAGAACCGCCATGGGGTCTGCGCCAGGCGTGAGGACGAATATCAGAGGGACGCAGGCGTGAGAGTCGGCGAACGAGGACAACAGGTCGAAGGGCGGCGGCTCGATGTACCGTCGTCCCAATTGTTCTGGAAGGATCGCGAGGCTGACGGGATCGACGAATCGTTCGTTCGACGTTCTCGATCGTCGTACCCTACCTTCGACGAATCCCTGCACGGCCGACACGAGCTTGTCGGGACGAACGCATCGCAGCACGAGCATTCTCTGGAAAGGTTTCAGCTGGTCGTAGGGCGCGGGGAACCGTAAACCGTGAGGCTCCGTGTGATCGAAAACGACCCTCCATGCGTTCGGGTTCGCCGCGAAAGAATCTCTGCAGCCCTAAACAGAAAAATACCGCTCCAGCGTGCCCTAAATTCGAACAATTTCGTTCGTCTTTCTTATTTCGTATTCGATGTCTCGTCTCTCGTCCTTCGATACCTGAAATCCGGGAACGTTGTCCAATCGACAGAACTCGTCCCAGGATTTCGAGGGCAGCCATTGCGTAGGATTCGCGAAAGGATTTTCGAGGCCCACGCCGCCGGTCAACAAAAACATCCACTGAGTCGTCGAGATCTCTCCCCGTTTGTTCATCAGGTTCACCGAGAGAAGCAGCGAGAACAGAAGCTTGTCCTTCTCGAACAACGAGCGACACACGTTCGCGTAGAGCGAATAGGTGAACTCCCTCGTCAGATCGTGCAGCCGCTGCTCTATGTTCTCCACCGCTTCCGTGTTGTCGATCGTGTTCTCGAAGAGATTCACGAACCAGACCAACGAGTATTGATACATCGGATCGATGTTGGCCAGAACCGCTGCGGGGCAGGAATATTCCGTTAACCCGTCGATATTTAACGGTAGGAACGTGTACGAAGATATCTAACGTTAGGAAATCGAACGAAATCGCGGAGTCGACGTCGCGATCGCTATAGGGCCAGAAGTTACCTATCGTGAAGAATAGAACGGTGCTGTAAACAGCTATCGGCGTGTACTCTAATCTCGCCTCGTCGATGGACTTCTCCGTAATCTCCGCCGTCGCTTGCTTCGCGACTATATCGTTCGAAAGATGCTTCGAGGAGCTGAGGATAGCGATCGCGCTCTCGTCCTCGAGGATGTTCGCCTCGGACGCCGAGAGCACCTCCAAAATCTTGTCCTCGATTTCCTTCAGCATTCTGCAAGAAAGTTCGAGGATAGAGACAGAGAGCGAGAAACGTTCTCGACGTTCTAGATACTTCTTGTTGGCGGCTCCTTGAACGATCAGCCGGTTCTTCTGGGCCTCCAGATCGGGTCTCTCCTTCGCCACCACGATACCGAGAAGCTGATCCTCCAAGCCGATCGGAGTGATCATGAAATTCAAGAGGGTCACCTTGACCACCACCTCCGGCAGATAGCGAGGATTGCGCAGCTTGGTCGTGATGTAGAACCTGGTGGGGAACACGCGGTGGAACGTTAGGGGAGGAAAGCTTTCGCTCTCGATGGCGAGAAAGGAGGAGGATCGAGCCTGACCGGAAGTCGTCCGAGTACTCGACGATCGAATCTCCGATCTTGATGCAGGTGGTGCCACCGGTTCGGAACGTCTGTCTGGTCAGAAGCGGCTCCAGAGCAGCGTCCAGCTCCTCGCCAACGTTTTCCAGGAGAACCGGCTGACCGAACTGAACGGCGTTCTCCAGGACCCTCGTGTAGTCGGTCTGGGTCAGCCTGATCACGTTAAGGTTCGCCTCTCTCTCCATGTTCTTGATCCACTTGTTGGCCTGGCCCTGGGGATCGATCATCAACGGCCATCGGCGGGAGTTGGCGACGATGATGCCGTTGTCGATAGAGAACAGGTCGCTGGGCAGACCGAAGATGTTCCAAGACCGGATCAGCACGGGATCGCCGAGGACCCGAGTCAGCTGGAAGTCCGGCGTGCAATAGACGTCCAAGTTGGTGCAGATCGCGATCCAGTTTTCGATCTGGCGCTGTCTGTACGGAGTGGTGAAGACCCCCAGATAGGCCACGACGCCGGACCCGATCAGCACGTCGCCCGTCAGCTTGTGACAAAGCTCGCCGAGCTTCAGGGCCGTCTCCGACCACCTGGTGTACTCGCCGCCCAGTCCACCGATCAGCTCCTCCGCTCGCTTCAGCTTCTCCTCGCACTCGGTCACCTCGTCCGTCATCGCCCGGTACTCCGCTTTCCTCTGCGTCAGAAGGTTTTCGAGCTCCGCCAGCCTCTTGCGCACCTCCTGCAGCTGATTCCTCTTCAGGGTCAGCTGCGCCATCGCGGCGGAGTAAACCTCTTCCGCGGAAGCCAGGGCTTGCTTCTTCGGCGCCACGACCTTCGCCACCTTGTCGTATTCGGATATAGCGAACACCCATCGGCAGAGTCCCTCGCAGGCGGTCGACACCTGCCTGATTCTCTCCGGGTCGAAGTTCGGATTCGTCAGGATCGTCGCGCGGATTTTCGTTACGATACGCTCCGGGATGTTGTCCTTGTCGAAGTTTATCAGGTTCTCCAGGAACTTCATGTCGCCCAGTATCCGCATAGACGCCTTCCAGTAATCCTCCGAAGGTCCTTCCGGAGTTTGAACTTTCTCCGGTTTCACGTCCTGGACACAAGTTCGAATTACGTGTAGAGAGAGAGATACGTCGTCGACGCGTCGCGTTCGACGCGTTGCCAGCATTCGCGGGAGAATCGGACGTACTTTTAGGATGCAGACCGCCTCCATGACCAGGCGAACGCCCGCCGGAGGACGCTTCATGGCCTTCACGATCTGGATGTCCTGCGGGGTCAATGTGTTCAAGGCTGCGTTCGCCGCGTTCAGAATCGGCATCACCTCCTGCAGGTCCGCGTCGCATTCCTCTCGGATGGCGTCCGCTTCGCTCGCGACGACCTTCGAACAACCCAAGGTTATCCTGTCGCAGCTTTACCAGGTACGTTTAAACTTTAAGCTTTATCTGGAAAAGCTGGCTTTGGAAATTCATATACATGTATAAAATCGATTCCGTGCGATGAAACGAGAACATTTTTCATATTTTTCAATCGAAGCTACTGTTTTTTCGAGAGGATAGAAAATCGAGAGAGAGAGAGAGAGAGAGAGAGAGAGAGAGAGAGAGCGCGAAGCAAATATTGCAGCGTGGTCTCGCTACGAATTACTGAAATAACGCCGGGTTAACCAAGTTTCGGTGCTTTCCGGGCTCTCCGAAATCTCGTTAACGTTAACATGCCGCAAAGCGGAAGCGAGCAACGTCGAAGAGAGCCCTGCGGCTGCGGCCGACGAGCAAAGCATCGCGAAAGCAACAGCCCCGAAACAACGATCGACTTCGATCTCGAAACCGACAGAGCCGTACCAAGGCGGCCTCTTCGTCCTGCGCGACCACTTGCTCGATGGCGGCGGCCTCGTCGCTCTGCCTCTGAACGTCGAGGAACATGGCCTCGACGTCTTTGGCGGCGACGAGCAGCTTCGGCTGCAACGCGACTAGGATCTCTTGCATCTTCTCCACCTGCTTGTGAGTGCTGTCCAACCGCTCCAAGCCCGCCTCGTACCGCTTCTTTCCTTCGAGCGCCTGCCGTCTCTTCCTCGCGAGCAGCCCCTCGAAGGTCTGGATCAGCTCCAGGTAGGAGGTCGGGGTCACGTGGTTGTGCCGTTTCGCTTTCTTGAGAAACTCCTGCGTCAATTCTTGGGTGGACGTGTGAAAGAACTGGCACATCTCGATGCAAGCGTCGCGCTCGGTCGTCGTCAGATCGATCTGGCCCAAGAACTTGGTGGCTACGGCCAACAGAGCGTCCTCGGGCCAGGACTGCAGCCAATCGATGGTGCAGCAGTTGACCAGAGCCGGGAACTTGCGGATCCTGACGCGAAAATTGTCCCCGATCGGCGACATCGTGACGACCACGTGCAGATTTTCGCGGACCGTTTGCACGAAGAAGTTGAACAACGCCACCGGGCTGCCGTCCGTCTGCAAGGACCTGTCCCTCTGCCGGTCGATCGTCCTCATCTTCTCGCAGATGTCCGTCAGCTCGTCCGCCGCGAATATGTTCGGCACCTCTCCCGAGTTGAGCAGGTTGCTGATATCCTCCAGGAACGTCTCCTCCCTGACCTGCGTGTCCATGAACAGGAACACCGAGCGTAGCTCGCTGGACGCGCTCTTCCTCAGGATGTCCTTGAGGTCGTCGTGCCACTCGTGCGATCCGTATTGTTGCGACATCTCCACGCCGAACAGCTCGTAATCGGAGATGTGCGCCGCCAGCTTGGTCAACGACCGACGACCCGAACCACCCACGCCGATTAACAGGGCGTGGCTGCGAGGCTGCATCATCACTCGGCAGATCTTCGATAGATGTTCGATGGCGAATCTGTATGGAACCGCGACACGTTCTTTCCTTTATTTCGCATTCGTAATCCTGTCGCGTACGTAGACCTATCGTTCTACTATTTTCGTAGACACCGTTCCATTATTTTCGACTCGTTCGAAAGATTCGGAGCGTTTTCGTTTCGCGCGATAATCCGCGGTCGATCGGCAACGATCGTTCTACGACAATATCTTACAATTAAGTCGCGACACCGTGTCGACGCTTGACATTTCTATAGAAAAATAAGCCAGCCCCGTTGATTCTTCCGATCGATAGCAAACGACGAAGCAGTCGATGCTTCGAACGAACCTGAAGAGGACCAGGTTCATCGGCGTTCTTGAGATGGAATTGTACTCTCCGAGGTATTCTTCGACCGTCGAGGTTAAATTGTCCAAGTTGGCGACTTCCTGGTACAATTTCTTATCTGCCAGGATATCTTGGAAGTCGCAGTAGATCAGATTTCGAAGTTCCGTCTCTGTCACCTGTGGATCGATAAAACCGATACGCGTCGATCGACGATCGAAGGCGTTCGGGCGTCGGAAGCCGACGGTGATCGTGCGACGTACCATGCCGTTTTTGTCGCTCAAGCTTTCGAACATACGATTCAAATCGTCGTCTAAATAAGTAGACACGGTGACTCGTATCCGATCGACGAGCCATTTAACGTCGGCGTCGTCCACCAATCGATCGCCGTAAACGCGCAGAACCTCGTGGACCCATAGCCGCTTCATGCCGACCTAAAAAAACAGAGAGAGAGAGAGAGAGAGAGAGAGCGAGAGAGAGAGGGGGGGAGGGGGCAGAAACAGAAGCATAGAATCGAACTCCGATGAGTAGAACGCGATCGAATCGTTGCGCTTGTTATCGGTCAGCTTACGGGCTCCGCGATGGTTTCGGGAGTGGAGAGCAGCACTCCCTGGACCACTCTCGAGAAGTCTCTCAAGTTGAACAGGTAATGACACTTGGCAGGGATTGGCAGAAGATGCTGCCTCGTTTCCTTGTAAACGTCCAACGTTCCGTCGACGACGTAATCGATGCAGGTTTGGAAATACTGCGGGAACTCTTTTCTGTCGAGATGCCATGCCATCAACTTTCCGAATATGGTGGTTAGGACGTCGTCGGAGAACTCCGAGATGGCCAGAGCGAAAAAGTGCCGTTTGAACCTGGGCGTGACGTCCAAACCGCTGGACGGAGGGCCCATGGCGCACATCAGCTGCACGTCCACCAATTCTATGGGGATCGCTTGTTCGACGTCGTACCAAGTCCGATGGTCCAGCCACTGCCTGAGCAACTCGATGGGCGGCTGTGCCCCGTATTGCTCTTTCTGGGGCATGGACAAGTCGTCGACGAACACCACCCAGTATTTTCCCGGCGGCGCGCCGTACAGCCCCTTCTTCCTCCTATCGAGCTTGCCCATGACGATCTCCTGGGCCTGATTGGCGGTGGTCTGCGCCGAGAATATCAGGAACAGCGGCTTGTACGTTTCCGGGTCGTTCTTCTTCAGGAGAAAGTCCATGATGTGGACGGACTTGCCTGTCCCGGTCGGGCCGACCACGAGGACCGGTTTCTGGTTACGGACGAGCAGCTTGAACAGGTGAACGTAGCGCACGGTCTCGACCGTCGGCACGATCACCTGGTTCACCGGCATGTCCTTCGGAATCGGCGGGACGTCCTGCAAGTCCTCCGTCCAGGGCCTCCACTTCCCTTTGCCCTCCTTCGCGAACTTGTAATCGAAAACTAGACCGGCCATGGGTATGTTCACCACGTAGGGCTTCGGCGGGTCTCCGGTGTCCTCGGAGACGTCGAAACGTTGCCTGACGTCCTCGGGAAACTCCCTGCTCGTCAGAGCTCTGAACAGCTCGCTGAACGCCTCCCACGAGTCCGAGCTCAGGGTGCCTCCCATCGCCCAAATACAGGAAAAGAAGAAGCAGCCCTGCGACAGGTTAGATCGAAACAGTCGGATGGCAATCCCGGCAGTCTCCTGGGACTTGGGACTAGGGACTGTCGCGGTAGGAAACGGTTACCTCGACTTGCGCCCGCATATCTAGATCGGACAAGGTCCGAAGGTACTTCTCGTCGCGGAAGTCCTCGAGGAAACAGTCGAACAGATACGTCACCGATCTTGTCAAGTTCGCGTCGGGCATCGCGATCAACACCTACGGGAAGAACGATGGAGATGTTTCTTCTAAAGAATGATGGTCTCGTTTCAACTAAAAATCTAAGTCGATCGGTCGAATCGTTCGAACCTTTACTCCGCCTCTGCGCAGCAAGTGCAGAAGGGGCGGACAGAATCGCGTGTACATGTCGCTCAAATGGTTTCTTAGATGTTCGGTGAACGTAGATGGCAGGGTGTTCAACCAGGAGATCAGGAGCGGCGACCAACCCAGACTGACCGGCTCCATGTAGATCATGCCGCATCTGGACACTGTGGCGGGCGAGGCCACCTATAGGGAACAACGAACAACGAACAACGAGCAACGTTGGCTGCGGAAAAGATACACCGGGTCGAGGAGAGAAACTAGGCCGAGAAAGGAACAATCTCACCTCCAGGTCCATGGGCTCGAAGATCAAGTTGGTGGTGGGCGCCAGCTGGATGATCTCGCCGGAGGTCAGGCAAAGCTTCTTATTGTCGTCGAGCACGGTGTTCATGTTCTCGATCCAAAGGGCGTCGACCGGCCCGTCGAACACCAGCCATTTTCGATTCTCGTTGACGGAGGTGGCGAACGCTCTGTAGCTGACAGCCAGGACGCCGTCGCTCCACTCGTGCGAGGCAGGGTCGAATCGGCCGTACAGTTGGCCCATCGTGATCGCCTTCGGATTAATAACCGTTATCTCCACCCGGTGCTCGTCCATCAGCCGCCGTTCCTCCAGCAGGGCCAGGCAGTTCGCTAGCATCCTGTACGCGGACGTTTTCCCGGCGAACGGCAGCCCGACGATCATAAATCCGTGCCTGACGAGCATCATCTCGTAAATCTGCTGGATCTTCTCGAGGAAGAAGCCCGTGCACTGGATGTTCGCGGCGGCGCAGGCTTCCATGGTGCAGGCGTTCAGGTGAGCGTAGTCCGGGGTCGGGAGACGAACGCCGGGGAACAGGTCCGAGGCGATTCCTTCGAAGAGGGGTAGATCGTGGACGAGAAACTTTGGTAGGTTCACGTCGAGGATGCTTCTCAGCATCAGAATGTCCTCGGATTGGTCCGGGTACCGGAGCTTCAGGTTGCCGGCGGCGACCAAGACGGACTTGACGGCTCTCATGCCGTAGTCGTAGTGACCCTGACCGCTGAGCTGCTCCGAACAGAGTTTGTACGCGGTCACGATCTTCACCGCCAACGGCCTGCCGTTGTAGAACCCGTACGAGTACAGTGTGTTCTCCGCGATCAGCGCGTAGTCCGGCACCATCATAGCCACCGGTCGGAACAGAGCCTTCAGATTGTCCGGCAACTCCGATCTACCGGCGTAGCCGGGGTTCATCGTGACGAAGATGGCGCAGGTTGGGTCCAGGAAGATGTCCGTGCCCTCGAACACCATCCTCTCCGCGCCGCTGTTGATCGCTCGTTGAATCGTCAGGATTTGTTGCGCGACAACCGACAGCACTTCGAGATCGATTCGATTGAACTCGTCGAAGCAGGACCAGGCGCCGCAGGAGGCTAACCCCTTGAAGAACTTGCCCAGAGCAAGATAGTCCAGCCCTTCGGAGCAGTTGAAAACGACGCACTGTTTCGCCACGGCCTTTGCCAGATCCTTCGTCGTCTCTGTTTTACCGGTCCCCGCCGGTCCCTCCGGCGCGCCGCCCAAGTGGAGATGCAGGGCGCCGAACAGAGTCCGATAGCATCGATCCGTCAGCGGTGTGATCACCAGCCTCGGCGAATTCCCCAGGTACTCGTAACCGTATCTCAAACGCGAGTTGATCATGTACGACCACATGTTGTCTTCCTGCAAAAGGAAGATGCATGAAATGCTGGACGAACACGTTTCTCGACGGCGAAGATTCGTCGATTTTCTAACCAGCCAGTAATAGCGAAGATGGCACAGCCATCTAAAGTCGGTGTTCTCGATCGCTTCTTCTTCGCAGAGACTCGCCAGTACGTCTTTCCCATGGACATCGAGAGTGACCAGAGCCTCTGAAACGATTAGCCGGTCGATCGATTATTCTCTTTCGAAAGTATCTTGTACTACGGTTCTTCTCTGATCGTAAGAATTTGTCGAATAATTTTCTGAATTATAGGAATTTCAAAAATTTGAAGAATTTTATGAATGTGATAAATTTTTCAAGAATTTCAAAAAAAACCTCACCTAAAGTGATACGGTTCTGCTTCGATAACTTGCCCCTGATCAGCAATATCACGTCGTTCAGCTCCGACTGGCACTGCTCGAGATACCCGTTCAAACCGACAGCACCCTGCAACATGGACTCCTCGATACGCAAAGTCCAATACGTCTTTCCGACGCAGAGAATCGTTTGACCCGGCCAATCGAGCACCCAGTCCTTCCTCTGCTTTCGCGGATACGCCTGCATCGCCTGCTCCACCATATGCCGGATACTTCGTCTCATAATTGCTTCCAGTTCGACGAGCCACTTCTCCACTTGTCCTCTGGCCGCGGCAGTGGATACTATATCCACCAGGTTCACGATTTCGTCCTCGGACGATCTCATCGCGAGTACTTCTTGATCCTCGTTGAACTCGAGCCTGTGGATGCCCTCGAAACACTTCTTCAGGTGCGGCTGGACACTGAGGGAACGCGATCGCAGGTTTAAATCGCGCGTTTCAACGCGACGCAACCGTTAACGTTACCGTTCGGTTTATGGCGTTACCGTGTCGGGTCCTTGGTCTCCGACAAGATCTCCAGCAGCTCGTCGTTCGAGAGAAAGAAGAACCGCGGGAAGAAGAGCCGCTTCTTCTCGAGGTAATCGTTCAGCCCCTTTTGAATGTCCTCCAGGAGAGCGAAACTCTTCTTCAGCCTCTCGAGCATCTTGTCGATCTCGATCACGTAGAGAACCCGAGGATCCGCCTGGGCCGTCTTCATAATGTCTCGCCAGGTCTTGTCCACCGCTGAAAACTTGCGTCCTTCGTCCGGCATTTGCTGCTGAATATCCGGCGACGTGAATATCGGCTCCAAGTACATCCAGATCGCCTGGACCCGCAGCCACTGGTCCAAGATGTCTTGCAGCAAGTGCATTTTACGCTCCCACGACCTATTTGATCGGACAAAGAAGAATCAGTTCGCGAAACGGCCCGCGTAGTCCGTGAAAAAAATTGTATAGTTTCAAATTCGCTAACAAGATTCTGGCCTCGAAGGGCTTGATGTTCGGCGAGTTCTTTATGGTGACGGTCCTGACGATGTGGTCGTCCAAGAGCAGCTGAATATCGTCGACGCCGGCGATCACGTGGGTGCCGGTCTCCTTGAAAGGGTTCACCGTGAACACTAGATCGGCCCAGTCCTTCTGCATCCGGTCCATGGCCTTCTCCAGGGTCGCCTCCTTCGACGCGTTGTCCGAAATCGCCTCGAACTTGCTGGCCAGCGAGTCCAAACCCATCTCCAGGACCTTGGCCAATGTCAGGTCGGCGTCCACCTTGATGGGAACGCCGATGATCTCGGATATCTGCTCCCAGTGGCGATCCTTTAACCCTGGATTCCCCAAGGTGAGTACGATCGGCATGCGATCCCTGAAGTCCTCGATCTTCTCGCGTACGTTGCTCGCTAGGTCTCTCAGATCCGGTTCTTGAAAGCTCTTCTCCAGCTTGTAGATCGTTCTAATCGATTCAAAGATATATTCCCGCTTAAAGATCGTCGCTGTATCGAATCGACTCGACTCGACTCGGCCCTATGGATAATCTCGTGCCCCTGTTTTTCATACCTGTACGCGTGTCCGACGTCGTTCTCGATATCCTCGGGGCTGTAGCTGCCGATCATCGAGTTCAGCCAGAGTTCCTGCTTGGTCATGAAATCGCAGATGGCATCGAACAGCTGCTTGAACGGCTTCAGCTGGTCCGCGATCTGTTTCCGTCGCGGATACTGCGTGATATCCCAACCGAACGCAGCTTCTTCTTCGTTGAACTTGTCGATCTTCTCCATCGCAGCTATCAGCCTGTTCTCCAGAGTCTGAGCCCTCCTCTGGTACTTGTAAACCTCCGCTATGTCACCCCAGAATTGAGTGTCGGCCACTTGCTTGGCGTAAGAGTCCAACTCCTCCTCGAATTTGATGTACCTGACTGTTGAAGAAGGAAAGTTTGGTCAATCGATGCAACCGTTTCTCCCTGCGCGCAGATTCTTTCGATCGATGATACTTCGAAGAGCCTCCTGGAACTCCACCGTCTTCGTAGCCACCAAAACTTCGTTCTCGGCCAAGATATCGGGGAATCGGTGGTACCATTGAAACGCGACGTTGTTGGCGTCGATCTCGGTGTCCGCGAGAACATGGTAATCCGACAAAACGAGGACGTGCTGAAGTATATCGTAGAGATCGACCTCTAGCTGCTTCAGGGATCCGTCCATAGATTTTCTAACGAATGCGACCAGCTCCGTCAAGGCTGCCGTATCGACGGGCCTGCTCAAAGCCCGATCTGCTATGGCTTCGTATTCTTCTGCGGCTCTGCGCCAACAACAATTGCTTAAATATCCGGCTCGGGGCAAGCCCTTGATTTCTAATAATTTTCTAATAACTACTTTATCGGTACACTATAATTGACTCGACTTTACCATTACTATTATTATTATTATCATTATTATTATTAATTATACATCGCTCGTAGCCAAGGCTAACAAATATATCGTGTTCTCGCTGTTCAAGGAATTAAGAGAAATAAAATACTCGCCTGACTGCAATGAGCTGGTACTTGTTGACGAGGGCATCGATAAGAAGATTTTGTATCCGATCGACGTTATCGACGACCGTCTCGATAAACATTTTTCGGGACACTTCGAAGAGGCCGGTGAACGCTGTCCTCTCGACTTTCAGCGGGATAGCCGCCATAAGCGAGCGACAACGCTCCATCATGCCGCCGTATTCCTCCAGCGTTCGGTTCTCGTCGCTCGCGAAGCTCTTCACCGTAAGGTACTCGTCGTTGTTGTACAAATATTCGTATCTGTAACGAACAAATGCGATTCCGTCGATCGCTGGAAATCAGAAGTAAACGCGAGCGAGGCCGAACGATCGATAATTACTCTTCCAACCAGGCCTGTATTCTCTCCGGAACGATCTTCTCGCGATCTATCAGATCGATTATCTCTCGCTTCTGCGACTCCACCATAGAACGGTCTACTTTGGGCTGCGATGAATTTCGAAACGTTATTACCTATTCGCATAAGAGCATGTATATGCGCTAATCGATCATTATTTTCGGCTTACTTCTAGGACATCCAACGAGCCCGACCAATCCAGGTAAAGCTGTGTCTCCAACGTATCGAATTCTGTAACAGCTTCGCATATGCGATCCAAAATCCCGCAAAGCGCGTCCTTGAATTCCTCGAAGGACGGTTGAAAATCTAGGCTCTCGGATTTAACTACCACGTCCACGTGAAATTCGCATTTAGCAGGCTACAGACGATAATTATTAAGCGTTAACTGATTTTTACGAGACGCTCCGATACCGAACCGATTTCACCTGGTCGCTGATGAGAAAATTCATGAATTCTTCCAGACTATTTTCGCACAGAGAGAGAAGCTGAGCCTCCATTATCGCAGCAACGCAGCCGAAGAACCGTTTGAACTGTGCCTTGTGCAGAGGACTCGGCACTAAACCCTTCCTATTCCTCTGAAAGAAACGGATCGTAAAGTCGTCGATGTTTCGTCGACTTTCGTTTTCCAAGTTGAAACGTTGCAGATCTTTTACCACGAGAAATATATCCTGAATGCCACTGTACCAAGAGGTCTTCAGAATTATCCTCCCTTTCTCGATTTGACGAGAAACTGCGGTTTCGAACTCCCTCAGGTCCCAGCTGTCCTCGTGTTCCACGATTTTTCCGATATCGACGAGCCGGAAATCTCTGGAATGTAGTCGATCTGTCGAACACGAGTACCGTGCTGGAAATGAACAGTTCCGTACCGGAATTTGTGTACCCATTGATCCAGGGTCAGCCTCGTGCACGGATTTATCAGGTACAGAGTGTCCTGCAGGAGAGCGATTTTCTCACGAACCTGACCCACTGAGCCAGACAGCAGACGAGTATCTCCTACCTATCGAAATTACTAATGAAAATTTACATTTTAACGTTCGAACAAAAATCAAACCTAACAACGCTTTCAAATGATTTTATTTTATTTTATTTTCAATCATTTTGATATCTTTCGAATCATCGAGACGAATTTCATAGATTTATTACGCATCCACCTTCTGCGACTGTTCCTGCAGAGAATCTTGCAGGGCGAACTGTAATATTGCTTTCTTGATATCTCTGGTGTATCTATCTTTGATCTCGAACAGCAGATCCTCCGTACAATGATAGAACCGATCGCGTATACAGTACGGAACCAAACGTAATATGTTCTCCAAGACGTCGTCGTGAATTTGGGCATGAAAAGTATCCGCCCCGTTCGAGATATAATTATAATAACGATTCGAGTCCGCATCCAAGCTCGAGTCTACATCCAACTTCGGTAATTCCGGCTTCACCAGCAGACCCACCATGAATCTACGACGAAATTCCTCTTTAATTAAATGAACCGAACGGAACCGAACCGAACCGAACCGAACCGAACCGAACCGAACCGAACGAAACGGAACCGAACCGGACCGATTAATTCTATAAACGATGTGTGCTATTCCTGTTTGGGCAATTTCAAAGTAAATCTCCGAATCCAGTAAGTTCCCATTTAATCGAACTATACCAATTAGCGTAGATTTTTTGAAAAATAAAAGACTCCGTTACATATATAGTATGAAACGTTGCAAGTTCGGAGGTTAAAGAAATCGATTTTCAGATGCAGTATCGTGTATGAAATTAAGGTTTGCATATCGACCTGCGGAAGTTCTCCGTTTTTAATCGTTTATCGGTATAAGTCTCTTCCAATTTCCATCGTTTCCGTGTCTCATCCTTTCTCATGCATTTAGCACAATTTTTCCAAAATTTGTCTGGCAAAGAATAGATCGATGCGACCTTCGAATGGACTATCTTTCTTTGTTTTGGGCTACCTTTCACGCGCTTTCTCTGAGTCGACGGTCCCGGAAGACCTTCGCAGGACACGACTTCCTCGCAATCGCATTCCATACTGGAACCGAGTTCCATTCCGAGGCCGTTGCAAGAATGGAATTTGTTTTATATCTAAAACAAGACCCACGAGCGATACGAACGATACGTTGACAGATGAAAATTGCATGGATACATTCGTTAATTTCAAATCGATTACAAATTACGATCCGAGCATCGAACAACTTACGAATATCGCTCGAAATTAGTCCATATCCCGTGCTACTTTGCGATCGAATTGTACACGGTCAGAGAAGGCGCCACTTTCGGTAGAGGTTGTGGTTTATCAATTGTTACAAGACTCCGTTCTTGAAACTATATTTACGGTAAGTAACGAAGTAAGGAGCCGTTGTCTTGCAGTAATCAGAGTTTTCAGTGGAACGGTTATTACGCGTTATGTTTGTGAGTCGACAGCCGAAGAATCTTAACCCCATGCGTTTGCTGTCGCTAAATCGCGAATACATTGACATTAGGAGGTACCACGATTGACTGGGGTTTCTAGGCAACGAAACTAATCGATTCTAATTCCTAAAGTATTTGCAGAACTTTTTAATGTAATGCTGTTTCCGTGGAATTATCATTGTACTATTATAAGTTAGAATATTAAAAATGGTACTGTTCAAAGTGAGATGTTCAGATATTTTTAGGTTAGTTTTCAGGTTAGATTTCCCCTAGATCCTGAAGAAAAGTTTTCTATTTATTTGTACATAACACACATAACCTTGACAGAATCGATGGCATCTTTCTTTCAGATGATTCCACGTCAGTTGTTTCGTTCGATACACGCAAATTACCTGCTCTGCTATTCTTCGAAGAAAACGCTGTTATCAAAATTGCGTAAGAAGACCGGCTACACGTTTGTAAACTGTAAAAAGGCGTTGGAAATGTTCGACAATGATCTTGTAAAAGTAAGAAACCTTAGTCGATACCATCGATGATTATCCGTGCGATAATATTGTTAATAATTGTGTTATTCGTTATAGGCCGAAGAATGGCTGAGAGAACAGGCTCAAAGCCAAGGTTGGTCTCAAGCGGTCAAACTGCAATCTAGAGTGACCACTCAAGGATTAATAGCGGTAGCTACCAATAACAATTGTGGAGCCGTTTTGGAGATCAATTGCGAAACAGACTTTGTCGCAAGGAACAAAAAATTCCTCGAACTAGCAGAAATCGCTCTGTCCACCGTGTTAAAACATGGAATGTCGTTGGAATTGAATTCACCCGTCTCTAAACACACGCTGTTCTCGGATTGTATCAACGCTTTGCCAGTCGGCGATGGGAAAAATCTAGGCGATCATTCTGCTCTAACGATCGGTAGCGTCGGAGAAAACATTAACATAAGACGCGCCTTATGCATAAATACCGAACAAGGCTTGCATCTCTACGGTTGCACGCATCCCGCAACCATAAATCCGGTGGCATCTTTCGGACGATACGGTGCCCTGTTGGCTTTAAAATCCAAACAAAAATGTGCCAATATTGGACCGCAGCTTTGTCAGCATATTATCGGTGATTATACCGTCTCCGAACTCTCGTGAAACGATATTACGCATTTTATATAATGTATTCCTTAACGTTAGGCATGAATCCCACTAAAATTGGAGATCCAGCTGTCGACGAACCGAACAACAACGTGGAGGAGGAATCGGTCATGCTGTACCAAGAATTTCTGCTCGATTCCTCCATGTCCGTGCAACAACTGTTACGAGACAACAAGGCAGAAATTATAGACTTTGTGCGCTTCGAAGTTGGTGAAACGATCGAATTAGATACACAAAAACAACCATTGGAGTCCCTGGAAACCTGTGGTTAAGAGATAGAGAACAATTCCCACCCGATAAAAGAAGATCGAATATGAAATTCATTACTGTATCAATTATATACGTACTCTGAGAAAAACGTATCCTTATTTTATCAAGATAAAAGTGGAGTATGCAAGTACGTCGTTCTTTCATTATTTATTTGTGCGACAGATAAAACTGTAGAACCGCTGCGATACGCTATCGAGCGTAATGCGAAATAATTAATTGGGAAAGTGGTAAAAAAAGAAAGGCTCTAATACATCTCGATAATAAAGTTTACTTATAGTCGAATTCAGAGAGTACGTACGTAGCAAAATAGATTCGATTTAAAATGATAATACGAGCGATAAATACAACGGTCTATAAATGCAAACAGCTCCACGTCCGAAATCCTAGATAGACGATCGAATTATTCTGTTTCTTTGTTTTCGTTGTTAGTTTCGCACGTTTTCGGAGGTATAGGCTTATTTCTTCTTCGCATTAGTCTGATAGACTTCCACAGCCACATTCGCGAGTCCTTTTTCCAGTAGCTAGCGATATCCTCCGGTGGATACCTAACACCCTGAAAATTTGTCAACGACTCAGCGAAACGTGTACGCGTAATAGTTGGATGTCGTACTTGAAAGTACAAAATGTCAGAGCGACGTAGAACTTGTCGACAGGGAAACACGTCTCTGGCACTTAAACTGTACAATTCTTGCTCGACCTCTTCGAACGGTTCTGTCTGAGCGTCGTTAGTTCGTCCGAGCGGTATCTCGTTCCTGGCTTCTAGTTCCGCGTCTAATTCCAAACGCTCGAGGACAGATGCGAAGCTTCTCGACTCTTTGCAATTGCCAAAATTCGCCTGTTTGCAAAACAATTCGGGCCGAGTCACTTAATTCTGCCACTTTAAATTGTTTGCAAACTGTCTGCTTTACGAACAAACGTGTCAAATAAAAGCTGTATAGTATAATAACAGCGGATGCTTACGTTGTAATATGCAATTTGGTTTTTTGTCAGTTTACCTGTTTACCGAGGTACGAAGCTCGCCTTGACTTAGAAAAAAAAACATCGTCCGACTCTACCGAAACTCATATATCTAAGCATTTGGTACATTTAGTTCGATGCACGCATTTATACAGCGAACAATTAATAAATAATTTCACGTGGGTAAATTAAGCGACACGCCGTACTGTACAAATGGATAATAATTATTTGAACCTGCACTCCTTGGGAACACACGTTGCATCCTATAGCGCCGGACAGGCTCGCGTCGCTTTTATTCTTCGACAAAACACTTTTCTCGTCCCACGTAAAATTTTCAACTGAAAGTGTAAAAAGTTCGTGAAACGGAAACGTGCAATTTCTACGTCGATCGACCAACGACTGGTAGCACACGAGTTACGTTCACGGACCGCTCGAATTATCGGATTCATCGTTTCTCCAGTCCATCGGTTTCTCCCTGGACCATGTAAAAGTAAGATAAAAAATAAAAGTTTACTGTATCTGTCAAAGTCAGCTGACAGACACCGATCTCGGTCCCCTTCGTGCAGAGAAACAACGCCCTCGAGCTATGTTCGAACAAATGAACAGCTTCCATGGAACGGTTCGCGCATCTTCGTCCATACGTATATCGGGTGGTGTCGTTTTACGCGGCCTCTTATTAAAAGTTACCCGAACGATCCTCCGTTCGCGCGTAGATTCGCGTAAAACGTTCGAACGTTATTCATCGTGCTACGCGTATTACCTACGAGTCGCCTATGAGGAGGCGCTCGAACAAACGTGTCTCTATACGAATAAATTAATATATATATATATATATATATATATATGCATACGTGTTTCTGCACGCTTTACTCATTTACCTTGGGCTGTACAGGCTGTTCCATGTGCGAAGAGAAACTCGAGAGGCTATAAAGTGGACTAGAAATATTCACGATTAAAGCGCCATTAGAGACGCTCGGTCCCTTATCTCTTCCGATTCACGGTGACCAAACTGGCAACTTTATTAGCCGTCGAAAACACCGTCTACTACTCGAAAAGGTAAAGCATTTAAATCCTAGAATAAAAGAAGCCCGCAACGACTAATCGAAACTTTTCTGTTTCTTTTTTTTCTTTTTTTTTTTCTTTTAGAGTAGTATTCGAATGATATTAAAATAATCGGGGATTCTACTCTTCTCTTTTTCTCTTGTACTCGGCAGCAAATAACATCAGAGTGCTCCAAGTAGTTAGTGCTGGGTGCTCTCATCGGGACTACACACCGGTGCTCCACAGGACGATCGCGGTATACGATCCTGTAGCAGAGGATAGAGCTCACCGATCCGGCCCAAGCGAAAGAACAAATTACATACTGCGAAAAATGAACCAGCAAGAGAAACGGATAATCGAAGACGATTACGATAATCGAAGACACGTTACCCGGCGATAAATCAAGAAAAAGCGTAACGACGTTCGAAACGGCTGGGTCGTCGGGTCGTTAAGCCGATAGGAATCGTTATCTCCGCGGAAGTTTACGCTTGGCGTTTTGCGAAATACCCGGTGCGCGCATATTACACGGCGAAAAGCGTAACGAAGAGGACGAGTCTCCGAAGGCAACGCGCTTAATCTTCCTGGCGATGCCAGGAGGTCGTAATCTCGATCGTTACATCGGCATCCGTTATTCGAGCGGAGACAACCGACTACGGCGACGGCGACGGCGACGGCGACGGCGACGGCGACGGCGACGGCGACGGTGACGGCGACGGTGACGGCCAAGCAACGAGAAGGCGGAGGGGAGGCGGAAAAAAAGACAGGAGCATGGATTGGATAGGGAAGCTCCGCGATGCGCCGCGCCGCGCCGATATATGTAACGTTAGAAAGGTAGAGGAACAGGTGCGCTCGAGCGAGATGCGCGAGTACGGTGTATCGCACACGTACACGTAGCGTATATGGTGCACGACACCGCAGAACCGATGCCCGCATGGCTCGCCGCTCGTATTCACGAGGTATCCGTTGGTCACGGGTGGCCGGCCCGGGTTCCGGGCCCACTTCCGGACGAGTCCGCACCGGTACGGTTTCTTTTTAGTCAGAAACGCATCGTATCAGTTGTGTTCGCGTACAGTTAGACGGTGTTGCTTCGCGCCTTCCTTCGCCTTCGCCTTCTCCTTCGCTTTATTCGCGTTCGCGTTCGCACCGATTCGAACTCGCCTGCTCCTTCGCGCATAGATAGCATCCACGGAATCGTCCGCGCACCGCGCCGCCTCTAAATGATCTGAACGGAACATCGGACACCATGGATTTCTCGAGACGGGTGAGTCCATCGGGACCCGCCGCGCCCCGGAGATCTCGCGGAGAAACCTGGGATCGGAAAACGATTCGCCGGTCCGCCGGACGACGAACAGGATGTTCGCGGATCTTCCCGGATCCTCGCGAGCTCGTTTAATTCGCATCGTAGATCTCCTCTGTCGGCTTCCGTGAACTTGGAAAATGTTATGTTTTCAATTTTTTCTCCGATTTGTCGGACGATCGTTAGAATGCTGCTAATCGCATCGGGTTTCCTTGCGCGGTACTTCCAACGTCTCGTTCACCATTGTCACCGAGATTTCGTTTCCGTCTTCGAGGGGATCGTATCGATTTCCATCTACGCGGGCCGAGCGTCTTGCAACGGTCGGCGCGGCGCGTCTTCTCTCTCGCGATTTGTTGTGCCTAGAAAACCACCGTCTGGAAAATAATAATTAGACGTTGTTCGTTCCTCCGCAATAGAGAAACCACGCGTCTGCGATTCATCCACAGTTCTAACTAACAGTTCTATCGAGTTCGAAATAAAAGGCAAAGACCATGAAATTGTAGTTTGTACGGTTCCAGTCGCAACCGTGCGTGCTAGAAACGCGCCAAACCCATAGCTCGGTAATATCTACGCCGTAATGTAAGCCGTAATGCGTGCGATCGGTCTACAGCGTACGGCGTACGACTTACGGTATTCGACAATTCCGCTGCGCGTAGCTCGTTCATTATGGCGTGTCAACGATATTTATCATACTTTTTATTTACGTTTCTTACATGTTTGTTGCACGTGTTGCTTTACCGCGTCGCGTCGCTCGCGGACTACGATCTCTGTTCGGCATAAAGATAAAGGAAGCGAGTCGCGGACGCGTAAAAATCTACGACTCGTGGCGTTGGCCGGCTATGGGCGACGGTAACGTACGAACGCGAACGTACAGGGAACGATCGCGCGCAGCTCCCCGACTCCCCGTAGCGAGGTCGAGCGGTCGGAAATTTTCACCTCCCCGCGAAACGCTTCGCGGAAGATCGGCGCGGACGGGCATGTGGGCGTGCAGCAAGTGCGGTCACCGCTTCCTGCCGCAAATCGAATGATCGTCGCTGGTCGTCGCGGACCACGCTCGGACAACGCGAGCGCGCGAGCACGCGCGCATATGGAAGCGTCTGTTCGAACTTGGAACTGGAACACACCCGGCGTGGGCATGAAACGAATGTGCGCGTGCGATGCGCGTGCGATACGCGTCCGCGAAAACAATGAGGAGCGCGCGCTGCCGCCGCGCTTTACCGCGCTTTACCGCGCTTTGCCGCACCCACGCGTGCACGGGCCCGCGACCGGCCGATGTTAATACCCTGTTGCGTCACCGTCGCTGAAATATTTCTGTCCGAGACAACGGGCAACGAAGCCGGCGCGAACTGGGAAAGCGTGGCGCAATTAGCGAGTCGTTTCTCGAGCAACGATCGCGCGAGCAGAAAAAGTAAGGAAGGAACGAGTCGGTTTATTTCGACGACGCTCGCCGGAAACGTCGTCGCGTCGATTCTACGGCATCGTTGGAGACCTTCGCGGCCTCGGGCCCCCTGTCGTTCGGTCTTCTCTCTTTGCCCGTTGAACAACGATTGCGCCGTGCCACGGAAAAGCGTCCCGAACGAAAACGGATTTATCAAAATTTCGACAAGAAAGGTGAACGCGATGGATCGAGGAGATCCGGATCTCGCAACGCGCTCGAGGTTGCGAAAAAGATCGGTTCTTCCGACGGTTCTATTTATAGACCGAGAGATTATCCGGGAATTTGTAATTCAACGCGTCGGTAATGAGAGCATTTCGAAGATCGTTTTTCGGACCCAATTACCGGCTGAAACTCGAGCGAGAATCCATTAAAACCGTGCCACCGTGCCGAGACGCGTACTCGGTTGCGCATTTTTACGGATACGAAAACAATATATGCTCGTTTCTCCGTAACACTTACTCCGACATCCTGTTACAAGGAAACATCGTCGGCCGTGAAGCTAACACGGCAATTAATTTCTGATAAGACGGCGGTTCTTTTCAGAATTCTGTTCTCACGCGTACAATCGCGTCTCGGTTTAAAAGGAATGTATCGCGTGGGTGTGTGTTTCGGACCGCGATACGGAACAATGGAACTTTTCGACTCGATCGTCGCGTATCGCCGCACATCGGAAAAAGTGTGATTTATTTTCCAATGTTCCGATATCGATCTACTTCGGACGGATGATCGTCCTCTCTTACGATCGACCGGTTCAAGCTGGTCGTTCTTCTAGAATGTCTCGGGTTTCGGAGAACTTTAAGCTAGCAACGAGTATATTCTTCGGCGCTCTTTTCCATGCTGTAATTAGCGGAGCTCTATCCGCGGAGAGAGCAGTTTACATAAGCGTCGTTGAACAATTGCTGGGACAAATGTCTGACGGAGGAACGGGTCCGTCGCACCGCGCCGCGCCGAGCCGAGCCGAGCCGCGCCAATCGGAACCGCGGCGCGAGGCGGTGGATCGGAGGATCGTGGATCACCTGTGATCAAGTCCTCCGGAGGACCTCGCTCTCGCGAGTTCCCATACCCTAGTTTTCTGCGAGCGAGCGTGGCGTATGCGAGCATCGCTGTGTGCCGCCGATCGCGTTTCTCCGTTGCGAAATTCATGCGCGCGCGCGCGATCGTGCCGCGAGGCTAGGCACGATCAGAAAGGATCGAACCGGTGTGTTCGTTCGATTCAAAACGTAAAATCGATCGAGACCCGTTCTAACCGCAGCGTTCTCGCCGACAAGTCCTGGGTAACGGCGATCGCGAATCGAGGGGACCCGTCGACACCGGACGACAAATGTCGGAGTTATCGGCGAGGATCGAGGACTCGGTGCGTAATTTTTGTGTAGAAAAGCGTGAATGGTAGAACGATCGAACCGTGGAACGTTGGTACGATGCTACGATGGAAGGAATAAAGCGCGAGAAGGAGGACGATTTCCGGTGATCCTGGTAACGGTAACGCGTTCGACGGTGCGAGTCTTTCGAAAATCGAGAAGAACCGTTCGTCGCCGGTCCTTCTCCGTTCTTCTCTTTCGACCGAAATGTACCGTTCCGCGCGAAGAATAATCGGCTCTGTAATTTCGTTGATCGATATATTCCTCTCCCCGACGATTGTTTCGGATTTTTGTCCGATATCGCGCCGTCTTAATTGAAGTTTCGCGTCCGCAGCCGGCAAATTGGTCTGCGTATCAAAGCCCAGGAATTAATAAAGTTCCTGATAATAACGATACGGTTCTGGTTTTTTTCTTTTTTATGGCTGCGTAAAGAGAGGTGGAGAATGGTATATATAAAGGCCGCGGAAGTTGGCGGAAAGCTTAATCGAAAGAAGAAAAGCAGTTGTCGCGGTGCGCGGCGTGGCGCGGCTCGCGAGTGATCGACTCGCGACGGACTCCCGGAAAGTTCGATGTTTTTCTTAGAAAATTCTGTTGATGTCACGCAGGACGACAAGAGCTGCCGTTCCGACGACTCCAATGGCGATGTCTTCAAGAACGTCCCGAAGAACAGCACCACGTTCCGCGTCTGGAAAATCGAGGTATTCTTCACCCTTGCTCATCCGTTCTTCTCATTGTCAGTCGTCTTCCGTTTTAACGAACGTGTCAATTTTTCGCCTTCGTCCCCGTGTCGATCGTTCCGCGAACGACGTACCACCCTGTACAATGTACATACGTACGTACGTACGTACGTACATATGTATAATAAAATACTGTACACACTGTGCACACGTTACATATACGGGAATCGCGTGAGTTTCATAAAGTGCATCGGCTGTCCGAGAGATTAAGAAACGAGTGAAACACAACGAGTGAAAGTGTGAAATACGAAATTACATTTTAATGGTATGCCGGTGCAACAGGGATTACGGGTCGCAGCCGTCGCAGGAAGTAATATAGGATACTTCCTCTCGGAGCTGGCATACATTATCTATGCGGTGTCGCCGAAGGACGGCCCACTCCCTTATCCTGGCATGCCGGTAATTATGTAGTTCTGATTCTTATCGTTACGGCTTCTTTTGTTACGGGAATAATCTCTCTCTCTCTCGATCCTCGAGAGAAATTGTTCTCTCGATTTCCCTCGTTCGAGATACGTGCGCGCTCGCGATAGAAAAAGGGGATCGTTGATTTCGATTTCGATTTCTCGAATCGAAAGAATTCGAATTTACGCGGATATCGTTACCGTTCTGTGCGCGAAGAGATCGAGAGACGAGTATCGCCGTGTTCCCCTGGATTCTCGCGGTTTTCGCTTCTAGTTGCCACCGTATGTTCGAACACCGGGTATACAGCGTTAGGTAAATCCGGGTGAATCTTCGGTCGATGATGGCCGTAAAAATGATCGAAACAGGTGAAGGATCTGAAATCGGGCCCGGTGGTCCGCGCCATTCATTTCTGGATCGGATCAGCCTGCGACTCGACGATTTCCGGTGCAGCCGCCCTCCGAGCCGCGGAATTGGACTCTCAGATATCAGCGACGATTCTTCTGAGAGAGGCCCAGGGCCGTGAAAGTCCGAGGTTTTTGGCGTACTTCCGGCAGCGTCTGGTCGTCGAGAGGTTCCATTTCGAGAGTCCGTCTTGCACGCTGCACAGAGTCACCGGTGTAGCTAATCCTCTTTTAACGGAGCTCGAGAAAGTCGATTGGGATCATTTCAGCTCGCGCGACGTCATTCTGGTGGACGTTCGATCCAAGTACGTTTCGAAATAAATCTAAAGAACCTCGTCGTTTCTGTTCGCGTTTCTGTTGAAAAACGTTCACGCGTGTCGCGTCTTTTCTTTTCTTTTTTTTTTTCAAATCACAGGGGCGTCACTTTTCTCTGGCTAGGGTCCGTGGCCGATCCTTTGCACAAACGGCACGCGGTGACCATTCTAGAGACGAAGAAGGAGAACAACAATGTCAGAGTCGTTATCGTCGAAGATGGTTACGAGCAGACTCTTCCCGATCACGATAGAGACCTGTTCGCGAGTATTTTGAACGCGTCTAGCAGGGTGGTTCGTCCGGATCGTCCCCATAGAGTCAACAGCCCAGCTCCGGTCAAGCTGTACAGGTGCAGCGAACAGTCTGGCAAATACAAAGTGGCGGAGCTGAAATCCGGACCCATTCTACGGTCCGATCTAACGTCCGAATCTGTCTATCTGATCGATCGCGGCGAGGCCGGCGTGTGGGCATGGGTTGGGCGCGACGTCGATGCCAGGGAAACGTTGGAAGCTGTCCGCAACGCGCGTGGTTTCGTCAAGAAGAAGAACTATAGCAACGGCGTGTCCGTTGGGAGAACGCTCGAGACTCACGAGCCAACGGAGACGAAGGCTCTTGTCAGAGGCTGGGGACCCTCGAAAACTAGACCGCTTTCTCTACCGCCCAGCTTCGAACCGGACTACATGAACGAAAGACCCAGGATGGCTGCCGAATGCCAGCTGGTGGACGATGGATCCGGCGAGAAGACTCTTTGGAGGGTGAGTCGGAAAGAAGGGATGCTCCGGATCGATAACAAAGGCATTTACTATGCGGAGGCCTGCTACGTGATGTGCTACAAGTACGGGCAAGGCCGCAGGGGCAAGTGCATTGTACGTAATCGCTGCTTTAATGTTCGTACGATATCCGAATGTAACCGATCGACCGATCGATGGCAATGCCTGCTGTCCGTGTAGGTCTATTGCTGGGAAGGAGTTCATTCCATAAAGGTAGACCGAGAGGCTGCTTTGGAAACCGCTTGTCGTCTATCGGAGGACAACTCGGCACAGCTGATCAAAGCCTGCCAGGGTAGAGAACCGCCTCATCTCCTTCAAATTTACGATGGAAAATTGAAAATACTAGCTGGCAGACACCGTGACTCTCGTTAGTAGCATCTCAAAATTCTCCACCGTTTCTTCCACTAAACGCCACGACCTAGCAACGTTTCGTTATTCTGTTTGCAGCGGCGGAGAAGTATCTCGTCAGAGTTTTCGGATCTACGCCTTATTCGTCGAAAGCGGTTGAACGTCCTCTCAGATCTAGCAGCCTCGATTCTAGCGGAGTATTTATCCTTTTCTCGGATATGCCTGTGGTGTGGTGCGGTGGAAAAAGTACAGGCGACGCTCGGCAAGCGTCCCGACGCCTAGCACCCAGAAACGCGCTCCTGATGATCGAAAACAAGGAAGACGATGATTTCTGGGCGGAACTCGGCGGTAAAACGATAACTGGAGTTATTACGAGAATACCGAATGTTAATGCGACGCGCGTTAAAAGGAAATTCTATGTTTCAGGTAAAGGTACTTATGGCACAGAGATCGTCGAGGTCGGAGAACAGCTTGAGAAACACTTGTATCAGTGCGTGACAGAGGGAGATACGTTCGTTGGCGAGGAGGTTCTTGGATTTGGCCAGAGCTGCCTTCTTCCGGAAGCTATCTGGCTGCTGGATGCTGGAGACGTGATATGGATCTGTATCGGAAAGTATTCGACGCCTAAATCATTGAGAGAATGCGTGCACGACGGTATGGTGTTTCTGTACACTCATCCAACTAGTCGAGATAGAAATACTACAATTTCTGTGATCAAACAAGGTACGCGATACGACCGTCGCCCGTTCATCGGGGATCTTCGTGAATTTCTATTCAGATTTCTTTCCGTTTGTCTCAGGTGCGGAGCCCTCGACATTCATAGGACTGTTCGACAATTGGAACTACAATTTATTGCGGGACTACAAATCGTTCGAGACGTTCTATACGCTCTCGCAACACAAAGAACCATTGGCGAAGGTACAAACGTCTGCGAAATCATCGAGCGACTTCGATAGTTACGTGAAATATCCCCTTTCCGTACTGAAAAATGATCCAGAAAATTTACCAGCCGGTGTTGACGTAGCTCGCAAAGAAATGCACCTTACATTCGACAACTTTATCGCCGTTTTTAAAATAGAACCAAACGAATTCGTGAAACTGCCACCCTGGAAGAGACAAAGACTGAAGCAAACCGCAGGTCTCTTTTAACTTCTAGATCTCTATCGCTGTTATAATAAAATTTGTACGATAGTCATTTATAAGATAATCAAAATAAATAAACGCATCTACACCTTGCATTTTATAGTTTCGAACTAAATTTATTAATCAAAAGAACACAGGACCAAAGCTTCTGTATGTTTAACAAATTTGCATACCATCTCAGCTTATACTTAAATGTCCCTAGTGCACATTTCAAGATGAAGTATCCATTGTTTCCTCCGGATGTCTACGAATAGTTTCTTCCTCGATAATTATAGGGTGTACCGTCTTGTTAAGTATAGCAGTAGTTCCCCGTTTGTATCGATAGGATATCGAACGTTCTCCCTTTACATTGGCGACGTCGTAAGGCCGTAAATAGTCAACGGAACCTTTACGTATAACGCACAGATCGACGTTGGAACCGGAAGCCAAATCGTTGAACACACCAGCGCGGATTGCATCTGCTACAAGTTCTTTAGCCTCTTCCTCCTAAATTTCATGTTCGATGCAAATATATTTTTTAGTTACGAAATGTACATATCATAAATGTACATCCCGTGCGATCGAAGGATTAGACCACTTTGAACGCGTTAAATTCACATAGCAATAATTTACAATCCTTTGTTATCCGATTTTGATGGAATTGAACACACTCGAGGTAGCCTAACTCTTTGATTACACGATTATTCGGCTCAGCAATTATTTCAGAAAATATTCCTTACGGACAAATTAGGTTTCCATCGACTTTCGAATACAGCCATCGCAGCTAACGACCCGCTACCCATAGTGGTGTACATGTGCGCGTCTGCCGACCCGTGTGGGTAAATACAATATAAATGTGGACCGTCTAAATCGCAGCCACCTAATACTAAAGCTGCGCCGATGTGGCCGCGATAGCGAAACAGTAATTGTTTGATCATTGCATTCGCAGTGCAAACAGGTACCAAACGACCGGTGTTCAAACGATGTAACTCCAACTGACTGGATATCATCTGAGTTGTCATCTCGGTATCTGCGGCAGTTCCTGCGCCGCAACAACTTCGAGAGAACAGTAAATTAGATGATTATTGCATAAACTTACAAATTAATAACATTAATTTTTAATATGATACCTACTACATATTTTCAGCAAGATAATGAATTTTAGTGCAATTTTTATCGGCAACTATAGTATCTTCTGTAGCTCTTGTATCACCGCCAAGAATCACTCCATCTTTATAAATCACTCCGGCAATTGTAGTTCCTGTTTTAACAGCTCTGGGTGGTTCGAACCCTTTTTTTATCAGATAATTATTTCTGTAATAACGTAAAAGTAGATTAAAAACATGATTCTGTTTTTAGTTTTTAATCATATCACACACTGTAGTTTACTGAGAAAAGTGACGATTAATTGAAAAATGACACAGCACTATCAATCTGTGATAGGTTATGTGTACACCAGAATATTGCCTTACACCTTTATAATTATAAGCATAGTTCGTATCACTTTTATTTTAGATTAGATTTTCTAACGATAAATTACCTTTGAGCTAGTTCGAAGGAAAATCCTGGTGCAGGAATTTCTGGGACAAGTAGCGAAGACATCGTTAAATCTTTATACAAATCTAAACGCCGTCAACAAGAGCACAGTCATGTCATGGGAAATGATTGGAAACGATTTCATGAATGTGTTGACGCCTACCACTAGATGTCAGGGTAGTTTTAACAACTGATTAATTGTATGTATTTTAAGTACAAGCTGGTACAAGATGACTCAACGTTAAACCACGGAACATGGTATTCTTGCAGAATATTAATAAAATATTACGTTCAGAACATTTCATATTAATTATATTGCATCTGTATCATGTAAAAAATAATTATTTATTATTGTAAATTATACGGAACAGATGATAAACTCCTAAAAATTAAAACTAGCGCCATTTCGTACGAGTAACGCTTCTTGCAGCGAAATCTCAAAGTTCTGTACAGGGGTCCGTATAGCGCCAATTAGTAAATGGCAAAACGCTGTAACTCTAAAGTCGAATAGTAGCGCCTCTTCTGGCGAAATCTCGTAGCTCCATTCAGGAGTCCGTATGCAGTGCCAATTAGTCCAACGACAAAACGTTGAAACTGGTAGACAAAATTATGTACAAACATTTTATGCCGTTTAAAGTTAGTATCTTAGCTAGGACAGAATTGCGAGATTTCGTCACAAGAGGCACCACCGTTTAGCTAGCAGTTTCAGCGTTTTGCCATGTACTAATTGACGCTGTACGGACCCCCCTGAACAGAGCTTCGAGATTTCGCCACAGAATACGCCACTCGTCAGAAATAGCGCGTTTTAATTTTCAGAAATTGATCATCTGTTCTATACATTCCTATTTTCAGTAACATATATATATACTTTTTACGTAAGACGGATGCAGATGTATAAAAAGAAATAGATACAATTAAAAATAAAATAGATAAAATTAAGAAAACTATAAAATCATATATAGTGCCAGTAACTTTAAATAGTGCTAAATAATAAATTCTTTTTATATGTAGATTGTTATGAAAATTGATGTTTCGCTTGGCTAAAAAACTATATTGCGCCTTTGACGACGCTTTATAAAGCTAAGTAATATTAACAGTAGTCAGCCTAACAAATTACATGAATTTTATATAAACATATTTATAAACAAGAGACATCGTTAATGATTTCTGCCATCATATCTCTGTTTTGCAGAGCTGCATCTAATTCTTCTTGATCCCATTCCAAATTAACTTTCGATAAACGCGGCTCCTTTTTGATCACCAACTTTAATATACCTCTTGTTTCTATCAACGAACATAAGCTTACAAACTCAGAACCGTCGACAGCGTGAATATTTCGTTTCTTGCAGACCTTTTTGTATACTTCGTGCAACTACAACAAAATTCCGATTATATAGATGATAATTAAATATTTATTCACAAATGAATTTACTTCGCTTAAATACAACATACTCTTCCCACAGTTACATCCTTATTCCGTCCTTTATTTAAAATTAGCAGAAGAGAACATAATAGTAACTTTTGTTGCAAAGGGAACGTACTTTCTTCCTTTTCAAGGTTCTGAGATCCACCATAAACTCCATTTAAGACTGCAACAACTTCCCTCAAGTCAACTAGCTTATCTGCCGAAGATTGCTGTTTTTTAGGACTCCCTGTATTTATTTCTGTAACACATACTTTCCTTATCGCTTTTGCAATACATTTATCTTTCAAAATAATCAGAAAAACAATAATACCATTGTTGTTCGAGGGTTGTAAAACTTGTACTAATTTATGAGATTCTGCAATCTCTATCACTCGTCTACTTATATCTAAAGCTTTCCTAATATCTCCAGAAACTGCAGCAACCTTTCCAGCTAACATTTGCACTGCAGTATCAGTGAAGAGATCCGATACTTTGGCTTCGTTCAATCTTTCGGTTATTATGTTACATATTTGTTGTTTGGTGTATGGTGGAAAATGCATTAACTTTGGCTTTAGCTCACACCTAGCCTGTAATCTGGGCAATATTCTATCCGTCAAATCCAGAGCATTAGCAATGCCAACAAGAAGTAACTTCGAATTCTGTACTAATGGCCATTCGAAAATTGAATACAAAACGGATTGATTTTTGGACTCCAGCTGATCCAATTCATCCAATATCAACAGCAACATTTTATGCTTGGAAACTAAATATTTTTCAATAAGAATTTTACAGTTTTTCCCAGACTTTGGAGCAGACAAACCTAACTCCTGTACAATCTTCCCATAAATTGTAGCAGCAGACTTCATGGTTGTACAATTCACATAAACTACTTTAAACTTTGTTTTGAAATCAGGCCTCATCATAAGCTTCGATAGACATGCTGTCTTTCCTGTTCCTGGAGGCCCTGATATATACAAGGAAGCAGACTTTTCAGTTTTTAAATGCTCCACCATAAAATCTTGTAACTGAGTCAATTGAGATTCTCTACCAGGTAATATTTCAGGTACTGAGCTATGTAAAGCTTTGCGAGCATTACGATACTTTTCTGAGCCAAATAATTTTTTAGGAATTAGCTTCTCCTCTTTCTCTGGCGAAGATATTAAATGCAATTTATCTAGAAGAGTAGAGGGTGTCGAGGGAGATGTAATTTGCTCTGTCTCCCCTATCCTTTTTTGTTTCGGTGGTGTGGAGCCATGATCTTCTAAAACAAAAGTAAAAATGTTTTTCACCTAATATATTGATAGAAAGCTAATATTAATGATAAATCTTAGATATACATACTGTCAGATTCACCGGATTTTCGGACCCGTCGAGGAGTTCTGACGGCTGTGCATTTATCAATGACTTTCACGTTATTTTCCACCAACAAATTCTCCACATCTGAATCCGAATCAGATTCACTGCTACTGAAGGTAATCACCTTTTTCACTGTCGGCGTGTATTTATACGAAGTTTCTCTAGCAGTCGCATTACTAAAATCTTGTTTCGCAACGTCATTTTTGGTCCCATAAAACGAACATTTTTTTCGTACATTAAACGAAATTGTTGTCTGGACACTTTTCATTTCAATGAGATTTTCGCGTAAATAAAAATCTTGATATATAAAAATTTGATCCTTCTCGCAGAACACTTGTGTGTGTGTTCGTTGTTTAGAATATGAATTCTTAATATTTTTGCATTATGTTGATGCCTTAGGTTAATGCCACGACGAGTTCGGTTTAAAATTTAATAGTTTAAGAATTATGCTCGCATGCACTTTCGATATCACTCTTATTAATGTTACTACTTCGAGTTAAGCTATAAATACTTCAGCCTGTGTGTAAATAAGCGGAGAAGATACGTTTATACACGCGCAACGATTACAATCTGATGAAAATTGACGCGGGAAGGTACTTTAAACGCGGGAAACCGAAAATGCGTGAACACGAAACGATCTAGTCGAGATTAAGTATCAAGATAAACGTTTATTTTCGCGCGTAAAATGTCACATTTCAAATATGTTCATAAACAGTACATTACATTAAACTCACTGTAACAAAATAAATAGCATAAACATATTATTTGCTGTTCTAAGCGTAATAAGTGGTAGTTACAATAATTTCACTGTAAATTTGTTAAATTAATATTACATGTGTAATCTATGTATACTACATGATAAGTAATGTAAATTTAAAACTTGCGCATAACTGTAATGACGCCCTCTGAGAGCAGACATACAAACCACAGTGAACGACGTTTCCGGTGTTCCAACGTCCCAAGTTCCAGTTCCAAGTTCCAAGTTTCAACGTAACCAACATTTCTGTTTCTCTTCCATATCGGTATTAGAAGCCAAAGGAGACGGCGGATTCGAAGCCCGCACAAATCGAGATAATCTAGAGGAATCTAGACTTCTCGTAAATCTAAAATGAGAGCGAAGGTACGATTGTATTAATATTTTCTTGAATACTCTGATATTTTCTGGGATAAATTAGTAATTGTCTGCTCTTCGATAAATTGAACATACGTTGTTTTCGGTTATGGTGTGCGTGGTTGCTTGACACAATGTTATGAACGCAATGTTTTTTGTTGCAAGGAACTCATTTCTTCAATATATTTAATACTTTTTAATGTGCCTAATTAATTTGCCAGACGAAGAATCTATTTTTTATACATATTTTGCTATAAAAAATAGATAGAATTGTAAATGATAGATCTTTACGAAGAGAGGTTAAGTAAAATTTCCTGTTACTTTTCAGTGGCGAAAGAAGAGGATGCGCAGGCTAAAACGCAAAAGGAGGAAGATGCGTGCGAGGTCTAAGTAGATTTTATATCTACGATCTCTGTAAGTTTATACTGTATTTTTCAGTTCTTTAACTGTGTAACACATTAGTCCTTAAGTAGTTTTACTAATTCAAAATTTGTTCCTGTAGCAATGTGTCCCTATATAATGAAAACTATTTCACCCAAATTACAAAAATTTCCGTATTATTGCTAACTATTAAGTTTGCCAAATATTTGTTTCAGCTGTAAAACTATAACATCTGACACAATCAAGTTTGATCATCCTGAATGGCGATACATCAACAGTTTGACACATACTTTTGTTTCTATGCAGAGAGTTCTGTTTTATTATGTACTCGTCTTGTACGGCTAAATAAACTTCTTAAAATGTATGAAAAACTCGTTTTTTTATTCAGTCATTTGCTAGAATTTAATGTTATATATAATTTATTTATATAAGAAAAATATACATTTTTATACATCCTCTTGAAGTTACATACAGTTCATATTCCTGCACGAATGGGTGGCATAGGTATCACGTTAGCAAGGTTATACATACATATTACATATGTACTCTGCAATTACTGTAAACATAACCTTAGTTAGTACATGTGCTACAAAGATGCGAGGACGGTTACAATCATATCTATTGCAATCAAGAAAATTGCTTTTCGACTATTGTAAACCTCGTGTAAATAATGTGATTACATATTCCCAGTTGAAACAAGTACGACAATTTTCAATAAAAGATGATACAGAATTTAACGGCACAGATAACTTGAAGAATAGTTCACGTAACCTACCAGGTTCCTTAAGTAACGCTTATAAAGTTTTCGATGACAAAGATGCAGAAATTATACTGGATGAAGAAGTTGAAAAAGAAACTATCCAATTGGAAGATTTACAATCTAAAGAGGAATATTATGATCCTTATGAAGGAATCAATCTGGAACGTAAGTTGATATTAAAGTACTCTTGAAAGTGTAGAAGATATTTTAGCAGAAAGTATAGGTAAATGAAATATTTATTAGGTGGAGTTACTGGAGTATATGAAATAGAAGATTTAGTATCATTGTTGCATAGAGAAAATGCTAAGAATATCTTCGTGGCATCGGTTCCTCCTGAATTCTCGTATGTTGATTACATAGTCATAGTTACAGGTATATCGCAAAAACATTCAACAGCCTTGGCTACTTTTGTACGTAAAGTATATAAATTAAAAAAGTGTCAGACAGATTTTATGCCGAAGATTGAAGGAGAAAAGTCAAAAGATTGGGTAGCTCTGGATTTAGGTATATTCGCTTTATAGTTAGACCTCGTACATTTATAAAGTAATTGAAAAATAATATTTATATTTTTTATTTCACAGGTAATATTGCTTTACACATTTTTTCAAAGTCTGCAAGAATATTGTACGACTTGGAAACATTATGGACTGTTGGTCCTGAATATGATAGTAACAATAAAAATGATACAGATGCAGATATTATGGAGCAATTTAATCAATTTTTGTCTGACATGGATCCTATCGATGAAAATGATACCAAAAAAAAATAAGAAGAAATAAAACTATGTTAAGAGTTTTACATTGTCATTTTAAATACATAAATATATAGCTGTCATTTTAAATATATACATATATATAAGTTTTCAATTAAAAGAATTCCCACCTTTAAATATGATTGTTGATATGAAAATCACAGTACAGTGTATGCACACATATGTATTCAACAATAAATGCGCGTGTATATGTGTATATATATATATATATATATATATATATATATAATTTGTTTACAGGATGCATGTATGTATTAGTAGATTGAGGTTCTCTCCATACACACGTACATACTTACGTGCGTACATAATATATGTACATACAACTCCCATAAAGGAAAGGGGTCCTCCCACTCCCTTCCTCACACTAGTTTAATGATTGTCCTTTCAACAAATCGCTCAGGGTAGCGTCCATATCTAAAGACGCTTTATCACGCATCAGAAAAATGAAATCTTATCGAACTATCCACTCTGTTTTACACGCTGACTAATCGTCCAATACATTTGATTCGTGTTGCAACCATCAGTTTCATATCTTGTGTGTCCATCCAAACGTGGTTATAATAATCTATACTCTATAAGTCTATAGTAATCAACACCTCTAAAGTTTACTTAAAATTTGTAAGATAAGAAATAAATTTCGTACCGCATCTAAAATAAAACATATTCTTCCATTAAAACATCTGTTTACGTACATACGCAATTGATTTCATTATAGAAATAACGTTGTCTTTCCTTGTGAATAAACAGAGGAATTAACTTCAGAGTTATTTGGGTAATGTATACCAAAATTTTTCAAAGCGTATATTTAAAAAAAAAAATTACAACAATCTGTTGCATTTCATTATTTTCTTTTTTAGCAGATTCCATGATGGACATTTAAATACTGTAAGAAATACTTATAAGCAACAAAGAATGAAATGGTGAAAATAATTCATTTGATCTCAAAAAATGGCAAGCGACACACAGTCAATTTGTAAAAAGAAGTCTACTCGTTTTCTACAAGTTCCTTTGAAATCAACAGAACAGATTTATTTTGTGTTCTTGATCCCAACATTGATTGCTTGTTTTGCATATATAATCCATTTCTCTGCTGACCTGGTAGTCGCCATACAACATTTTAGAGAAAATAATCCAGTATGGGGATATTGTACTATCGGTTTCATGTATTCGCCAGCAGTCATGTACTTTATACTGACAGTTTCGAGGCCAGATTGGTGGATGACAGATGATGATAAATTGGCAAAAGGGGTCTTTGTTTGGTTCTGTCTTCAATTGTGTCAGTTGATCGGATTTGTCTTCTTTTCGCTATATAGGTACTATCATTTTACTTTCTATTCCATTTTAATGTTAATCTGTTTTGTTAAAGTAATTTATGACTGTTTATCCAGATATGCAGGTCTCATTGTGTTATCTGTGGATGCTATTATATTATCCGGCAAGGAGAGAACTAAGACTCTAGACATAGCAGCTGCACCAGCAGCCATAGAACTATACCTTTTTTTACAAGCTTGGTTCCAGGCAGTTCCACAAGCTATCTTCCAAACGCATCTACTCTTCCGTGAATCATCATTTCATCAGAGTCACCAGTCCGGTACTTTTATCTAATATGTTATACATGGTATAACAATAATTATTTTACAAACGTGAAAGTAACAGTAATTATAATAAATACTTCTCTCTTTACAGTTGTTATTAAAGTGCTTTCCATTCTTATGTCCATTGTGATTGTAGCTATTCAAACTACCTCCTTTCAAAGGTTTGAAAGTCAACGCGTTAATGGTAGAAAACTGCCATGGGCAATGTGGTTAAAAAAATATTGTGTTCAGGTAAACCAATATATTTTGTATAAATTTAAACAGGTTTAATTATTTTCTAAAAATACTTACTTTATTTGTATACGTAGGAACTCTGTGATCTTGAAGAAAAAACTCCCCTAAAGTTATCTGATATAAAGGAGGAAGACACTGTTCATGCAAATAATATTACAGAGGAATCTAAAGAATGTAATAAATCTACGAAAGAAGATGAAGACAAAGAACAAGCTGATTCTCATGCCTCTTTAGATCGTCAAATATCTCTAACTCCTCCGTTACCGCCAAAAAATGTGCAAATCATACCACCCCCTACACCTTTACGAGGAATTACCACAGTCACACCTTTACCTGTTCCTGATCTACCAGCTCCACCAAGACCAGATTCAATATGTACAATAACAGAAACCGAATCTGAAAATGTACTTACTAAATCTGAGGCAGAAACAGACAAAGGATCAGATATCTCACACAACTTAAAAGTTCCACAACGAAGGTATACAAAAAAGGGTTTAGAAGAAGATGATCCTATAGGGAAATTCTTATGTTTCTTATGGTGGTTTTGTTTTATTCTAGCACGTATACTAGCTATTACTGTGTTCTATGAATTTTATCCAGTTTATTTAGCTATTGTAATGACTATACACTACGGTATTATGTTGTTATACCTCTTCTACTATACAAAATATTATGACGCCATTAGTTTCTTTGTTAACTTATGGTTGGGATTAATTTATATAGTTTGTTTGATCGAGTACAGAATTAAATTTAAATATGCAGATAAATGGTTGTTACCATACTATGTCTTCGTAATACTACAAAATACGCTTCTAACATTAGTATGGTACTTCTATGCAGACGGGAATGGATTTTGGTATTCTTATATATTTTATGTAATATTTTCAAGTATGGCGCTATGTATTTCATCAACGGTAGTTTATTGCGTTCTACTTAAGCCAAAGAAACGTAGAATATATACCAGTTGACAAACGATTAATATTATTTCGTGGTAGAAGATACATTGAAATGTGATTTTAAAAATGCTTTAATCTCTTCTTAGATTGCATTAACGTTTTTCGTATTTACGTGAGCTTCGTTCACAGTTTAATTTTCTATGCGAAGATGCATTAAAAGATTGTTTTGTAACGTGATCGTAAAATAGTTAATATAATTACAATTACTATATAATTTTTGTAATGTAGAATTAGGTATATTAAGGACTGATATCGACTACTAGATAATATGTTAAAAATGTATTTATCGTACAGTACTATAAATTACAGGTAGCTATATTTATGTAATATTTATAGAAAATTGATTCTTTTAAAAAAGTTTTACAAATAGTATATTCGGCAGCATTTGTTCTAATCTGCGAATTTTACACTTGTACAGTAGTATTTACAGTACTATGCATTTATATACAAAGATTACTCTAGATATCTATATGAATACTTATAAATATTAAAATATAAATAAAATTTGTTATATATATATATATATATATATATATATATATATATATGTATGTATAATGTAT